ATGTATTTAGTGGTCCTCTCCAAATTTTTCCTAGAACTTTTGTTTACAAAAGGTAAAAGTTTAACTTTCTGTAAAGTATCTCTCAAGTTGATAACTAGACACTTAGTGATTGACATGGTGACAAAATGGGGAGAAAGACATTTTGAACATCATGATTGATCAGTATGATTTGTTTCCATTTAATCTTCTTTAAAAATTATATTTGGTCAGGGATTTAGCTCAGCAGCTCAGAGTACTTGCCTGTAAGCATGAGATTGTGAGTTCAATCCCCAGGAACCCCCTGGCCTCCAATTGTTTATATGTGTATTTGCATGTTTTTTGTTTTCTGAGACAGGGTCTTGATATGTAGTGCAGGCTGGCCTTGAAATCATGTAGCCCAGGTTGGCCTCAAACTCATGGAGTCCTCCTGCCTCATCCTCCCCAATGTGTGCTGTTACAAATGTGTGCTGCCAGGCCTGACTACTTTTTGTCGTTGTGGTTGTATAGTTTATATATCAGAATATGTATTGTTATAATGAATATAATAATTTTAGTAATTTAGGCGAGGATTTTAAAACTTTAGTACACCTATAGGTAAAAGTAAAATGAAAACAATAGGTGATGGGGAAGAGAGTGTAGTTTAGTACTTATCTAGAATATGTGAGTCTTTGGGTTTGATCCCCAGCAATGTAAAATTTTTTTAAAAATAAGATCTTTATATTTAAGAAAAGATGTAAAGTCAAAAGATAAGTGAGAAAACCAACAAAGGGAGACTATAGGTGAACAGTAGGTACAATGAAATCATAAACGTTCAACATTTTAGAATGTCTCAATACACAAAAATAGAATAGTACCATGTTATAGTACTATTACAAGAGAATAGATTTAATATAGAACACATAATTGATGGATTATTTTATAATATTCACCCAAAAAGTCAAATGCAAATGAGTACGAGAGATCTGTCCATGCACTAGGACTCAAGGAATTCAGCTGAGGCCAAGAGCTTGTGACAGTGACTTATTCAAGTCTGTAACAAGGATCTGCACTGGGAAGGCCCAAAGGTTAGGGGTAGAAACTAGAAAATATGTGCTGGTGGGATGAATGATCAGTGCCTGCAGGATGAGGGAATCTGCACTGGAGCCAGGGAAGCAGTGCTCAAGCTAAGAACCAGAGCATTCCCTTCACCCCATAGAGAACTGCACTCATCCTCAGCAGCATTCAGGACTCAAGCCCCTCTGATGATGAGAACATACGTGTTCATGTCAGGAAAACCAGTGTGACAAGTTTCTCTAGGAGATTCAACAGCATACCATATTCCCCTCCAGTGCTCCTTTTATGCTGTTGGCAACACTTCTCAGGTGGGCCTTCCACACCCAGCGCCTCTCAGATTCAGTTCAGCTTGCTGTTAACATGCTGACCATGTACCATAAATACTTTCCTTGTGTATTACACATGCTCATGTTCCTCAGTCTTTTTGTATTACAGTGTGATGCTGGTGGCTGTTACTGAGCGTCCAGTTGTTTAAGTGCCTGTTTATTTACAAATGAGAATGAATCTCATATATAATTTTATCCATTCCCTCCCCCAAAACTCTGCTTATCTTCTCAAACATTTAAAAGTTATCTGGTTATCATATATTAAAAGATTAAACTGTGTTTCAGGGTATAGAATTGACCTTTTTTTTGGAGACAAGGTCTCAGTCTGCAGTTTAGGTTTGCCTCAAACTCTGTAACCCAGGATAACCTCAAATTTGCTATGATTCTCCTGCTTCAGCCTCACAACTGTTGAGGTTACAGGAAGTGCCTCATCATTCCTGGCCAAAGATGTCAAATTTTCCTGTTAACTTTATCATTTCTCTTGGCTTATGTTGGTGTGTGGCTTTTTATTTGTGAAGAGTAACTTTGTTTTTGTTTTTGTCTTGTTTTATTGAGCCAGGGTTTTATTATGTAGTCTGGCTAGCCTTGAACTTGCAGCAATCCTCTTGCCTCAGACTCCTCAGTGCTGAGACTGTAGGTGTGGGCCATTGCCCCTGGCCTCTTGGGTTTCATATTATTAATCTAGTTATTTCTGAGTATTATGGTGTCTTCTCAGAGACAAGTGCTTTTGGTTAGTATGGTTTCCTTTTCATTGAGGGCCAGGGTTGGCCTTGTGTTACTGAACAGATATCCCTCTTTCTCTGTTTATCTGTGCTCATCTAACTCTCATGTGGGCCTATTACCATTCTAATGTTTGTTGGCCTGCCCTGGCTCTCAGTGGGTGGATGGTTCCTAAATTGTGTTGTCTTCATTTTGGTCCTCAGCCTCATAAAAGTACCAAATCCCCAAGTCATTTCTTTTTAAGTTCTGCTGGTTTTGTCTGAAGTTTATATAATCTTATTGTTTCCTCACAGTAGTCTATACTTACTTTTATTCTTTCTCTTCCTAAAATGTGTCCACTACCTCCAAAGATATTTTTTTCAGTAGTATAACTATTTTACTTTTTTTGTATATATATACATATGTTGTTTCTTTCAGCTTCTCACACTAATAAGACAATAGTATGTTTACACATGTGTGTCTGATTTATTTCACAGAGTATGGTCTCATGTTGCATCCATTTACCTGTAAGTCTCCAGTTTTTTCATTGTATAAAAATATCACATCTATTTTATCCATTCCTCAGTCAGTGGCATTTAGGTTGTTTCCAAGATCTGGCTATTACAAATTGTGCTGCTATACACATGGGTGCATGTATATTGCTGTGGTGTGATATTTTTAATTGCTTTGAGAAGATACTCAGAAGGGAATAGCTGGGTTCAATGGGACCTCCAATACTAGTTTTTTGAGGACTCTTCACACTGATTTCCAAAGTGGTTGCACCAGTCAGCATTCCCACCAACAGTGGAGAAAGGTTTCTTTTTTCACCACAGCCCCTCCAGCGTGTTATTGCTTGATTTCTTGATAGTAGCCATGGTTTCTGGTGAGGTGGAATCTCAGTGTTAATTTGCAGCTCTCGAATGACGGACGGGTGATGTCGAACATTTTTCATGTATTCACTATTTGTAGTCTCAGAATAAATGTTTAAAAATGTTTCGAAGCTTTTGGAGTGCATAGTCCCCTTTTAACCCTAGTTCTGACATCTCACTGTTTTGAATGAAGTATAGGTTTTACTGTTGGTTATAAGAAGAGCTGATAGCGTGATAGCAAAGAAAAATTTAATTTCAGTGTATTACTCATTCTAACCCCCCTCCAAGAACTTTCCCTTTCTCTTAAGAAAGTAGTGAGAAAAAGGAGGATTTCCAGTCATATCTTATAATACTATTCTTTTCTCTCCCTTGTCTCTCAGACTTGCTTTTTGAACATTATGTCTATCTGCCTTCCCGTTTTGCTTGGCTGATACCTTTTAGGTTTCAATTTAGGCTTTAACATTTTTTAAGACTTCCAGACAGTACTGGGAGAATGGAAGGTAGACAGAGATGGGTAATTTAGTTGTGAGGGGTAGGGATGATAAAAGACCAGATTCATAAAGCACAGGTTAGGTAAGAATTATTTGTTTTTGTTAGTTTTTGAGATGGGGTTTCACAACATGGTTCAGGCTGGTCTCAAACTCACTTCATGGCTTAGGCTGATACCTCTTGGAAGTCTTTTACTTTAGCCTTCCAAGTGCTGGGATTATAGGCAAACATCACCATGCCTAGCATATTGATTTTATTATACTGTGTAAAAGTTAACTAAAAATGCTGAAAGCATTGATCTCTGCTGCTGCTGTGGTAGCAGCTGCTACCTGTGTTGTGCTCTGTAGCTCTGTTGCCACTGTCTATATTCAGTTTGTTCATTTCCCATGGATCACATGAGACAGATGAGTTTGATGCTCGCTGGGTGACATACTTAAACAAGCCAGACATACATGCCTAGGAATTTTGTAAAGGGATGAACACATTTGTTGGTTACCTTCTAGTTCGAGATCCTTAAACCATTGATGCTGCGTTGAGAGCATGCACATGGTTAAATGATTTCGCTAGTGCTGTTTGAAACCTTGAGGTAGTTAAGGACAAAGCAAGTCCTCAAGGAAATGACTTCTGTGTCATCTAGGAACTGAGACCAACTTTGAAAGAATTGAGAATCTCTAGAGGAGCTGAACCTTGACAAAGTGTAACCTACAGATGAGCTTCCTTCTTAAGAATTTCTTAATAGTGCTATTTGATTGTAAACAATCACCTAGACATACTGATAATAACGTATTACTTTATTTGAACAAGTTTTCCTTTTTCGAGTACCAGGCCATGTAATAACCTGGACGTCAATAAGTGGGGAACGAGGTTTTCTGTTTATTATTGGTGGTGCTAGTGTCTTGTGACTTGTGCTAGTGTCTTGTGACTCTATTACTGAGCCACATTTCCAGCCCAAGAAAAGAATTTGAATCCCCTCCCCCCAAAAAAAGTTAGCTGGAGTAATTCATACTGTTTTATAAGTGATGATATATATACTCACCCTTTTTGGTTTTGATATTCACCTGTGTCTGGCTTAGCAGATGTTTATTGACTGATTTTATGAATAATACATTTCTGAAGTACTTTTATCAACTGAGACATTTTGCAGATATTTGTTTTTATTATAAAATGTTTCTACCCTGGCCCCATTTTCTCTCTTTTTTGCGGGGGGTGGGGCAGAGATCAGATCTACAACTATCTGCTTACCAGGCAAGTACTTAAGCCACTGAGCTAAATCCCCGGCCCATTTTTCTTTTGTGTGGTACTGGGGATCGAACTCAAGACTTCGTGTTTGCCAAGTAGGCACTAATGCCGCTAAACTAAACACCTGGCCCCATTTTCTCTTTTTTGATCCTGGTTTCTTGGCTACTTATAATCTCTTATAGACATGGCTCCCACAGAAGAATGGCTGATGAACCAACCGCTGGTACTACTACTGACTGTTGTTTGTCATTCAAGTCTCAATCTACAACAAAAATAAGTTTCTAGAATAGTGTTAATTCTAGGGCCCATGTTAATACTTGTTAATGCCATTATGTCTCCTATCTAGAACCCCTCGTCCAGTCATTGTGGAACCTATGGAGCAATTTGATGATGAAGATGGCTTGCCAGAGAAATTAATGCAGAAAACTCAACAATATCATAAGTAAGGTTTTGTTAACAAAGATGTTTCAGATATTTGCTGTTGCAGTGTTTTTTGTCACATTTTAAATTTTACTGAATTACAAAGTATTCTGTTTTAGTCATGCTGCCTGGTTTATAGAGTTTCCTTGTCTATTTGGAATGATAAAAATTATCTTTTTTGTATAGGTAAAACATTAATTTTACTTACAGCTTCTATTTTAATAGTTAATATATTTGGCACAGAAAAACAAAATCTAGATAAAGTGAAAATACTCCTTCAGTTAGTATACTTCATGTATATTGTTAACTTAAATGATTTTCAGTGAATGCAGGTAGAGTGGTTCTTAAGTAAGGGGCAAAGAGTCTTACAGATTACAGAAAAAGACTGTTTTCCATTTTGACCAATTCCTTTTTTCATTTAGTATAAAAATATATTTATATAAGTTGCCAAAATATACTTTCATAAGTTGCCTGGGTGTGAATAGTGAATATATTGCTTTTGTAACCAGTCACTGGAGTGCCTTTGTGCCACACAGTGCAATTAAGTAGGCAGTCCTAGCTAAAGTTACCGATGTGTAATAGAAAGATGAATTACAGGGTTGGACCCTAAGTGCTGGTGTACCTTAGCATGGCAAAGGTGGGTAGACCAGAAAGAATCTAGAAAGACTGAGGGAGCAGCCATGGAGTGGGGGCAACAGCTAGCAAACAGGCTGAGTTCTCAAACGAGGAGAAGAATCAGTAGTAAGTAATAGGTTGTACTTCATTTTAGTTTCTCTTAATAATGCCATTTTTCAAAGACTCTTATTGTCTGTTCATTAGATTTTCATTATTATTTTAGTATTACAAATAGGAAATACACTATTCTTTTGGATTCAGGAATTAGATAACTACCAGGATGTTATAAGAAGTAGAATTCATAGGGGCTGGGGATTTAGCTCAGAGGCATAAGCGCCTGCCTTGCAAGCAGGCAGTTGTGAGTTCGATCCCTGGTACCGATAAAAACGAAAAAGACAAAAAAAAAAAAAAAAAAAAGAAGTAGAATTCATAATAAAAGCTCTTTTTTCTTTTTTTTTATTCTTTTTTTTAACCTGGTACTGGGGATTTAACCCAGGAGCTTCACACTGAACTATATCCCCTTTCCTGTTTTATTTTTTACTTTGAGGCAGGATCTCATTAAGTTGCCTCAGATGGACTCAAGCTTGAGATTCTCTTGCTGGAGTTATAGGTGTGTACTGCCATGCCTGGGTTACAATAAAAATTTTTTAAAATAAAAATTGTTGTTTGAGGTATAGTGGTTCATGCCTAAAGTTCACAGCACTATAGCACTAAGGTAGGAGGATCACTGTGTGTTTGAGGCCAGCTTAGACAACGTAGTGAAATTTTTTTTTTTTTGTCTTTTTCATTTTTAATGGTACTGGGGATCGAACTCATGACTGCCTGCTTGCAAGGCAAGTGCTTATGCTGCTGAGCTAAATCCACAGCCCCAATGTAGTGAATTTTAAGGCCAGCCTCAACTACATAGTGAGCCTCTGTCTCACCCTCCTCTCAAAAAGCCCTTCAAAAATACATATTTTGAAATTATATGGAGTACCATGTACTAGGCTATATACTTGAGGTATATGTAGCAGTATACTTGAGATATATAGCAGGTAATATATATATTTGATGTCCTCATTGAATTTATAGTTTAGCAAGGGAAATGTTAAATAAATAACAAATGTAGTTAAAGTTACACCTTTATTTTTTTGCTCTGCCAATCAACTTGGCACACAACAAATAAATAGTGGCTACTTTTATTATTCAAAAATACATTGTAAATCCGTTAACTTAGGCCACATTTGATTCATGTGTTCTAGATTCCCTTTTCTAAAATAGTTGAGTGAAAACCAGAAAAGCCTTATGGGAGGGAGTGAGTAATAAGGTGAGTGCAGGTTATAGCATTAGATTTTCTAGGTTTTGAATTCTGTTTCCATTACTGAGAATGGTCAGTTGGGCATATTTAGGGAGTTTCTGTCCAGCATTGTTGCTGTGAAGGGAATCATCTAGCTGTCTGACAAAGAACCTTAAATAGGAGAAGTGCTCAATAAATGTAGTTATTGTGTTATCTGTTGTTATTTACCTTTTTAAGCATACATTTTTATGTATGTTTAATGTAAATTTAGGGAAAGAGAGCAGCCACCACGTTTTGCTCAACCTGGGACATTTGAATTTGAGTATGCATCTCGATGGAAGGCTCTTGATGAAATGGAAAAGCAGCAGCGTGAGCAGGTTGACAGAAACATCAGAGAAGCCAAAGAGAAACTGGAGGCAGAGATGGAAGCAGCTAGGCATGAACACCAGTTAATGCTAATGAGACAAGGTAAAAATAGGCTTTCCTTACAGATGGGGTATGAATTTGTTTTTCCTTGATGTTTATGTATTTGACATGTATTATTTAGGTGTTTGGAGACAGAATCAGAACTCTGTATTAGAAATAAAATCTTCTGATACCTGGTACCAAAAGGAAGGAAGGAAGGGGAGGGAGGAAGGAAAGAAAAGAAAAGAAAGATAAGAAAAGAAAGAAAAGTTCCTTATGTGAGGCAAACATGAACTCATTATTGGTTTTGATATATATCAACCTGTAAGACAGGTTGAATATCAAATGAAGATTGATATCAGAATTCTTGGGATCAGAAATGTTTCCAGTTTTGAAGTCTGGAATGTCAGTAGTTTGAATTCAGGATGCTCACTCATACATACATTTACCTATATGAGTAGTAGTGTTTGAGCTAATTCAAGTATGTTAATATTTTGTCTGTAGCAGATATGTGATTCTTTTAGCAAAAAAGAATAGCAGGTAGGCAGTTTTTGGTGTAGGTTGTGATGCCCTAAAACGACGTATCAAGATTTATTTGCTGGAAGGAAGAATTAGGACAGGTATTGGCTATTAAAAAATACTGCTACACACTGTAGGGGAACACTTGAGTAATCTGATAGAGAAGAGAGATTCATGTGCACAGATCAATATGGGGAGTTGGAAAGAGTAAATTAGTAATAGTCAAGAACACTGTAAACACTCAATATAGTGCTAAATTTTTAAAAAAATTTTATTTAAGGAGAAAAAGAAAAAGGGTATAAGTTATACAGAATTTCAAAAAAAAAAAAAACCAGGAAATCACTAGTTAATAGATTACATATTGTCATCTTAGAAATATTCTAGTTATAAAATTAAAGCATATAAAGTGGACATTCAAACAGTGAGACGGCAAATAGTTCTGTTCAATGATCCAACTAAACTCAGTAATGTGGTTATCTATCTTATACGCTTAAATATACATACAGTTATATCCTTTAGAGCACTTTCTTTTTCTCTGTTACAATGACAATTACACATTTTGGGTTTTATTACTCCCACAGTTCTTATTACTTTTTTTTTTTTTTTTTTTGAAGAGAATAAAACCAAATGTGACATAACAAAACAGAGTCAGTCGTATCAATAGGATGGACATATTACATAATGTAAAAAGAGAATACAAGATAATCAACAATGTTTACCATAATGCCTCTTGCTATCTTAAAAAGAATTGCCTATATCATCAGTTATAATAAAATTGAACAAAACAGTAAAGAACAAATCCAGTAAAACCAAAACATTGGAGACGTTACAGGACTTCAAAAGAAGATAATAGTCAAACCAGAATGGGCATCATAGTGAATCTTATTGTCTTCACAGTTATTGCCTATACTCTCATACTTGGTACTATCAAGCAAAGCAGAATAGAGTAAAATCAGTCAAAACAAGATGGTGAGAGCAATATAAGGTTTCAAATCAAGTTAATAGGAAATCAAAGTGGGTTACTATAATGTATCCTGCTATTTTTCCCTTAATTAAAAAGATAAAAATAAAAACATAATAAAAAAAGGAGATTGAGATAAAAGAGGACATAACAACAAAACAGCACAGGTCAGAACATAACCATTTAAGCAAGATATCCCAGCATAAAAGTAGTTACCATAGTGTCTGTTTCCTTGAGATCTTTGAGGATAACTTCGTATACTATAGCATCAAACATATCTAGACAATGTAAAACCATTCAAGAGAATGACAGTATTACAGGGTATTTAGAACCAAATAACAGAAAATGAACAATGGTTTTTGTATTATCTCCTTGTCTGTAAAAGTTTTGTTTATATTATCACATACAATAAAATCCAATAAGATACAACATGTTAAGACTGATGGAGACAGAACAACAAAAGCTTGATAGTACTTCAAAACAAGATGATATTAAATCAGCACTAGCTATTATGATGTCTTGTTTTGTGCAAAATAGCTGTTCATGCCATCCAACATCCTCTGCCTCATTTCTGTTGAGCTCTTTTTCTGTCATTAGTTGTCAGTTTGTCTTCTTCATTTTGCTTTCTGCTCCATTCATTGTGGCCTCTCTGCCACTTTTTCTGGAATCTTGGTATTTTTCTCTTTTAGAATGTCCTGCAGTATTCTCTGTAGAGTTGAATTGGTTGTTGCACATTCCCCTAGTTCCTCTTTATTCTGGAAGCACCTTGTTACTCCATTAATTTTTCTAGGGACAGTTGTGCAGGATATATCAATCTTGGCTGGAGGTTATTATCTTTCAAAGCTTGAATTATTTTACCTCATGCTCTTCGTGATTTGATGATTTGTGTCGAGAAGTCTGCTGTAATTCTGATAGGTGTTCCCTTGTAGGTGATCTGTTTCTTGTCTCTGACAGCTTTTAATATTCTGTTCTTATATTGGATTTTTGGATTTTTGTGTATTATATGCCTGGTGTAGTTCTGTTTGGGTTATAGGTGACTGGTGTCCTGTGTGCCTCATAGATCTGAGTATGTTTACCTTTTCCCATATTAGGGAAGCTCTCCTTGATTATTTCTGTGAATAGCCTTTCGCAGTTCATTTGTTTGTATCCCTGCTTCTTCCTTTACATTCTTAAGTTATAGATCTTATCATGGTCTAGCCTTTGTATTGTTCTGCTTGTTTCCTTGTTATTTTTAAGAGGTTTTTCCTTTTATGCTTCCATATTACAAATCTCTCCTCCAGTTCAGATAATCTGTCCTTAGTTTCTTTCAAGCTGTTATGCCAGCTTTAAATAGTTTTTAGTTTCCTGGTAATCTCTTTGAACCTGCTTCATGTATTCTACGTTTTCTCTGTTTTCTCCATTAAACAATTCTCCCCTTTTTTTTCTTTCCTTCCATTCCACCATCTGTTTTTTCTTGGGATGTGCTTAATATTTCTTTAACTGTTCTTCTTATATCTTGCTTTACTTGGTTAAATACTTCACTTTTGAACTTGTCTGTGAGGTCCCGGAGATATCGCTTTATGTCTATTGATGCTGTGCCTGATATTGCATGTTTTCTGTCCTCATTCTCCTTTTCATTTACCTTTGGACCAGTGTTCTCAGGATTGGGGACTGAGGACCCTTTCTTGTTGCTCCCTTTTCCCATAATTTTTGTTCTTTCATACAAGCATATATAGGAGGCCCAGTTTCTTTCTTTATCAGATACAGTTTGTTTGAATCGTGCCAGCTTGGTATTCCCACCAACTGCAGTGTACTAGGGAGACATGGACTTCGGCAGCCTATGCTGGGCCTGCCCCTCCAGGTCAGTCACCCTGCTGAAGGCTTCACTGCATTAGGGTGCCCTGCCAAGTGCAGGGACCTGGTTTGGGCTAGCCTACTGGGTCTTAGTCTGTGGCATCACCCAGGTCAAGCGCTCCCCACCAATCCCGCTTGAGAGGGGAATATGTGACTGAAGTCACTGCAGCGTCCTGTTCGGGCTACCCTGCCCCATCCCAGAATGTCCTCTGTTGGAGCCTCATAGTCTGTTGGAATGGTCACCGTTCCTCTCACGCAGGCCGATGCAGGGCTCCCTGCCAGCTCTGCTCTCAATTCGGTTTGCCAATTCCAGTTCTTAGAGCTGTCGCATCTCTATCCCTTCTGTGCCGATTCAGATGCAGCTGCGGCGGCAGGAAATTCAAGCCGCAGTTTCCGGAGGTGCGGGTTCCAGCTCAGGCACCTAGACTTCAGCTGTTCCAATCGTAGCACGGGGATTGCATTTCCGATTGTTTTCTCTCTGCTTAGTTTGTTCCTGGGTTGGCAGGGTATATCTCGCCCTGCTTAGGACTCCCAACACCGCACGATTCCTGGAATCTAAGCTGGCTATTTCGTAGAGCCTCCATAGCTGCTGTTATCTATCTGCCATGTTCTCCCGGAAACAATATAGTGCTAAATTTATCAGAGAATATTCCTAACAACCTGGTGAGATTAAGTGTGTTGAAACTTACTTCTGCCCTTTTCCTCAGGTTTTTATACCTATCCTTGCTACTTCTATCACTGATTTTTTTAAATTAATGTGTTAGTTTTTTCTTAAAAATGATCATCTGATTGCTGTGCCAGTTTTGTGCGTGCGTGTGTGTATGCACTGGGATGTAACACAGGCCCTTGGAATGCTAGGCAAAGGCTCTGCCACTGAGCTGTACCCTAATTCCTGGTTTCTAATCCTGCTTCACTCTTAAGTATTTTTTCGTTCTTATTTAGCATTTCTGTAAATATTTATTGACTTTATTTATTTATTTATTTATTTATTTGTCTTTTACATTTTTATCGGTACCAGGGATCGAACTCACGACTGCCTGCTTGCAAGGCAAGTGCTTATGCCCCCGAGCTAAATCCCCAGCCCCTTATCCACCTTCTTTAAGCTTTCTCCAGAAATAACAGCACCATACATACCTGCCTGGGTTTCTGTAGTAACTTACTGCTGCCTGATGTTGGCCTTGTCCAAACTATTCTGTATAGTAGAGCCATTGATTTTAAATGTTTGTTAAGTTCCTTCTTTGAGGATGAAGTACATTTTTTATTTTCTTTTAAGAGCCTGAATTTGTCTATATTTCCCTTTTTCACTCTCCTTCAGGTAGGGTCTCACTGTATCTTAGGGTAGCTTCAAACTCTTGGTGCTCTTTCTGCCTCTACCTCTTGAATGCTGGAATTACAAGCATGCACCATCATACCTAGCTGTGAAGATACTGTTTGTGTAATGCTGTGTTTTGTTTTGCTTTTTGACAGAGGACCTTGCTAAGTAGTCCAGACTTGCCTTGATGTTGTGATTCTCTTGATTGATCCTTTCAAATGCTGGGATTACTGGCACTACCACACCTAGCTTTATGTTATTTTTGTTACCATAATTATACAACTCTCAGAGAATATTCATTCTCTGTCTTACATTTTATTATTTTCCTCCTTCCACTGCTTGATTTTTCTTGATTGCTTAGCATACCTTTTTTATGCCTTTGAAATGGTAAGTCAGATAATTGAAATGTATTTATGCTAGGAAATACTTCTTGGCCATCCAAAGAAAAGATGAAGGAAATAGTTACATTTGACTTATCGGTCATATTCCTTCCTTGTTAAGTTTTGTTTTCTTGTCTTTGTTTTGTTTTTATTATTGCTTGATTGATTTTTGTCTTTTTGAGACAGGATTGTGCTATGCAGTTAAGGTTGACCTTGGGCTCAGTTCGTAGCCCAGGCTGATCTTGAATTTGCAATGATCTTCCTGCCTTAGCCTCAATTGCTGGGATTACAGGAATGTGCTGCCATTCCCAGCTTCTTGTCTCTGTTTTATCTGGACTGTCGCACTGATTTAATGTTCTGTATTTTTTGTGTTTTATTTGTTTGGTGTTTTGAGATTTTATTGTTACATTTAGATATACATAATGATCACATACATTACAGAGAGTTTGTACCTGTACATGATACGGCTTTTTTTCCCTCCATTCCCCCCACCATCCCTTAAACCCTTCCTTCCCTCCCCATTTACGGATGCTTTGTTTCCATGTGTCAGTGTATCTTTTTAATGTTTGTTTATTTTTGATGGGTACTGGGAATCAACTCATAACCTTGTACTTGCCAGGCAGGTATTGTTCTACTCCACTGAGCTATATTCCTTTTCTTTAAATGTTTGGTTTTTCTTTGGTTCTTTGAGACAGGGTCTCATTGTCTTGTTCAGGTTGGCCTTGAGCTCCCTGGATAGCCCAGGCTGGCCTTGAATTTACAGTAATCCTACCTTCTAAGTGTTTGGATTACAGGCATGTGCTCTCATACTGTTTATTGTTTATAAATTTGAATTTATTCATTTATCTTTTGATACTGGAGATCATATCCAGGGATTCTCTACCAGTGAGCTATATCCCTAGATCTTTTTTTGTTCATTTTGGTTTTTTTGAGACAGTTTTACTAAGTTACTTAATTTGGGTTGAGTTTGTGAATCTCTCATGTAGTCCTCCCGGATTGTTGAGATTGTAGGCATGTGCCCCTCTAACTATGAGGTAATTATATTAATGTCAGGAAAATATGATCAAAGAAGTTAAAAATCAGTTTGGTCAAATGATGCAACTTGAAAACTCTGTTGTCAGAAAACAAAAGTACATATTCCTATTTTCATGAAAGAAAACATAACACATTTTTTATTATAGTACAGTACATTGTAGGTACCTATTCCTTGACTTAGGAGGAGTTTGCCTATCAAACAAACGATGGATAAAATATAGGACAAGCCAAGTGTGATACTGCATGCCTGTAATCCCAGCACTTGGGAGGCTGAAGCAGAATTGTCTCTATCTCGAGGTCAGTGTGAACTGCATACTGTTTCAAAACACCAATCCTCCCCAAAGAAAAAGTGTAGTACATATTAATTTGATTATCTTGGATTATCAGGGGATAGTAGTGCAGTTCTACTTGCTGAAGCGTTTCCTTTTGTTAGTGAAAGTAGATCGTATATTTCTGATCTCTTAATACATTTTTCCAGCTAATATTACGACCTAATAATTGTTTGATATCTACATAGTGGAAGCATCTGGGGGACTTTAAAATTAAATATAGATGCTTTTATACAGATTATTAGAGCTGTCACTAAAATTGGTCTGATATACTTAAGTATTTTCTCCATAAACATGTGACCAGAATCACCACATTCGCCTATGTACCAAAGGCAGGTACTTCTGAGCATAGTTCCACAGTGTGTGTTTTTATTTTTAGTTTCTCAGTAAGTGGAATCAACCAGATTTGGGATATAGTTTAGAAATATATAGATGTGAAATATTTATGTGTGTGTCCATATTGAACCTTGTAATAGCTGGATGGCTAGGGTAGATTTATAATTACCTGTTCTTTATTCCCTTTGTATGGTTTTAATCTGTGAAATGAGATAATGTTTTTGTTAGGCATTTAAGACAGTTTATGAAATATTTTTTAGGTATTTCAAATAACAATGAAAATAATAAACTAAATTGTATATTCAGAGTATTTTAATACTTTAGTTTGTTTATCTATATAAACATGCAATTTTATGATATTCAGGAGCTTTTTTGTTATTCAGAGTATTTTAATACTTTAGTTTGTTTATATATATAAAAACATGCAATTTTATGATATTCAGGAGCTTTTTTGTTGGCTTCACAGTATATCTACTATTTCTTAGATATGCTAGTACACATATACTTTTAGCTTAGTCTGGAATCCTTTATGGTGCTAGGTATTGGAATGCCTGACCTTATTCCTGTTAAATACCTTTACCACTGAGCTACCCCCCAATCTCTGATCCCATTTTTGATACAGCAGGAATTAATGACAGTTGGAAGGAGTTTTTAGTGGTTTGAAACAGTCTTGTTAACATCAAGGTGTGGGACATTGAATTCTATGCAGTGATCTGTTTCATTATTTCTGCCTTCTATCTGGTGGTTTTATTGACTTTTTTTTTTTGAGATGGTCTCACTGTGTAATTTGGACTGTCCTTGAATTCTCCATTGATCTTCTGTGACTACAGGTGTGTGCCATCAGGTCTAGCTGAAGTTCCCTTTGCTGATGTTTCCCCTGGTGTCTATTTGGACTTTGCATTCATTTTAGAGAAATCCTGTAATTTAAGGTTGTAAATGAAAGTGTGTTAATATAGTTATTATTTTGTTTTGAATATATTCCAGACCTTAAGTCAAAAAGTAACTGTTTTAGGTTATAATCATAAAGGTAAGTTTTCTTATTTTATAAACATGCCTAGAAACTATGCCCAGAAAGCGTAATTAATTAATTATGTAATTTAAAGTCTATCATTGGAAAAGATTAACAGCAAAATACAAGTTAGTTGACAAATATGAAGAATTTATTAAGTATGTTGTCAGGAACAGAGAATCTGTGTTTACTGATATAAAAGCTCAAAGAGAAATTAAAGATGTTAATGTACAGTCAATATTTTTAGATCTAATGAGACGTCAGGAAGAACTCAGACGCTTGGAAGAACTCAGAAACCAAGAGCTGCAAAAACGGAAGCAAATACAACTTAGGTAAGAGAACTTCATTGTAGTATAAATGTGAATGTATATGTGCATGTAAACTGTTTTCATTGTGTATGTTAAAAGCAGTCCCACTACCCATTAGAAACAAGTGGTACAAATAGAGAAAAAAAAAGAAAGTTGCTTATTTTTAATACATGTAGATGATTACTTCTTAGGACTTTTTATGTGGTTAAGGATACTTCAGTTGCATATACTTTAGTTAAATAAGGGACATAGGAAGTATTACATGTAATTTCTTTCTTTCTTTCTTTTTTTTGTTTTTTTGTCTTTTTCATTTTTATCGGTAGTGGGGATCGAACTCATGACCGCCTGCTTGCAAGGCAGGTGCTTATGCCACTGAGCTAAATCCCCAGCCCCTACATGTAATTTATCATAAGAATGTTTACTGATTTACCAGACCTTTATTTATTTATTTATATTTTGGTACTGTGAATCGAACTCATAACGTCATCTTTTCCACTCAGGTGCTTATGCCACTGAGCTAAATCCCTGGCTACCAGACCATTTTTGCAGAAAACAATTTTTAACCTGCTATTAGCTTCATATCTTTTCTTTCTTCTTTCATTTTTTGGTATCAGTAATTTTAATCCAAGATCACCTTACTGAAAGAACTATATCCCTAACTTTGTAAAAACATTTTTCATTTGAGTCAGGGTCTTTCTGAGTTGCCCAAGTTGGCCCAAACTTTTGATCATCTTGCATCACCCTCCCAGAGTGTTGGGATTCAAGGTGTGTAGTACTGCAACTGGCTTCGTGTTTTTTTTTTTTTTTTTTTTTTTTTTTTTTTTTGGAGATAGAGTCTCGTTATATAGTTCATGCTTCCTTGAACTCACTGTGTAGCCTCACTGCAGTCTTCTTGTCTCAGCCTTCTGAGTGCTTGGATAGCTGGAGTGGGTAACCAAGTTTCCTTAATTAAAGTGACACTATTATAACACTACTGTTAAAATGCGTGCATTTTAATGCTACTGATAGTTGTTTAAAAGGATTTCTTAGGGAAGACTGATGAGAACGTTATGGGCATTTGAAAAGCAACACTACGTAATTATCAATTCAAAATCTTATATAGTAACTTATATAATTAACTTATATAGTAACATATAATTTAAAACCTTTATAGTAACTAAGGAAGTTTAGGAGAGTGGTTGGATCCAAAAGGTATGAAAAATGTTGTACCTGGAATTTTTCCTTTGTGCCTGGAATATTTTTTTGTGATATATAATAGGATAAATACTTGTCTTTCAAGTTTCAAATACTTTAAATGTTGTGATAGATGAAGCAAGTTGAAATTTCGATTTTGAAAGTGCTATGAATGTAGTAAGTACTTGTAAAAAGTAAGCTGTTTATGAAATAGAAAAAAAGTAAGGAAGAAAGTGAAAAAGTCAAATGAGGCTTCTCTAGAGTGTAAATAGGTGATATTCTATGTATTTTGATGTATTTTTCCAACTTTTTACCTGATTTTATCAATATGTGTATATATTTCTGTTTCAATTTACTCATGTATGATTTCCAAATTATATGCATTGTCTCTTGGGAAATTGTTAGAAATGCAGTCTGAGAATTTCCTCCTTAACTACTAGTTCAAAAAATGTAGCACCAAAGGTGATTAAATTCTGAGAGCTACAGGTATACAACTCTTTGTTTCTTTTTATCCAAACATGTTTATACTGCTCCTGCTTTTACAAAGAAATAGAAACTTCCCCTTCTGTAACATGAAAACTTATCAGAATCCAGCTTTTTCCACATATTTAAATTTGACAAATAGCTAGACTTTTAAAAATAGTACCCTACCATTTAGTCTCCTTTTCCCAAAAAAGACTCCAGATAATTAAAACCAAACACTGTGTAATTTGGAGGAGACTATTAAATATTAAATATATAAGTGTTAAAAATTACATATTTTATATTAAATGCTAATATTAATTATTAAAATAATAACATGAACCTATTTTATAATTAAATTCCATAACTACACTGAAAGGTGATAGGAAAGATAATAAGGACCCTAAATAATTCTACAAAACACTATCTTAATTGACAGCTCTTTAAGACTAATAGAATCATACATACATTGTGTAAGCCACTTAAGAATATAGGCTAAAATTTGCAAAGCTGTGTGTGTTTCTTCTGTTTTAGTTCTTCTGTTTTCTAGTGCAGTCTTAATTTTTCACAGAAAGAATAATTACTTGTGTTTTGAAAATAATGTGAAGAAAATTAAAAGGTTTGGTTTTCTGGGATTTGGTATAAACAAATTTTATTAAAAATTTCTAAGTTTTTTATGTGAATGGGTTATCTGATAAAAGGGATTATTGAGCTTCTTAGAAGAAAGTACAAAATATACACACTGCCATATGGTTTACCTCTGCATTGGTAAATTTTCTGAGTAAGAGAATAAATGAGCCTGGCTTTGTGTTGTTTTGTTTTTGCTTGCTTTGTTATTGGGATAATGTCTCCTATTTAATGTTCCTGGAAGACGTTATGCCTAAATTTTTCCTCTACAGAAGCATTGAAATTCTGTCTTTACTCTTATTTCTGGGAAGGCCACCAGGATTTGCATTGCCTGAAGTAGAAGCCGGTATTTTCTTTGTGATTTAAGAATTTTCATGCATGTGTGTGTTATATGCACATTTAAAACACTGTAGCAACATAGGTTGACTGTATTTTTAGAATGTACATAGAATATTACTATTATTTGATCAGAATTCAGCATGTGTGTTACAAGTTGAAACAAATATTCAGAATCTCAATTGAGCCCAAAAGTTGTTGGGCACCTCTGTCAGGCATGTGACATTTGCTTAGGTGTGACTTTCTTACTAACCATATGGCAGACAGAGATTCAGTGCTTGCGGTGATACACTAGTGCTCAGGTAGGTCACTGGTCTCACAATCCGTTTTTCTTAGTTTAGGGCCATGGTTTTCAAATATTTTCTTATATTCCCTCTTAGGGGTATCCCAAGGCATGCCTAAAGAGATAAATTGCTATTTTTTAAGTGACAATTTAGTAAATACTGATGGTTTAGTAAATACCCTGGTTTCTCATTTTGGGTTGAAGAACAGAGACAAAAATGAATCTTGTGGTGTTGGAATCTGAAGTAACAGAATTAAGTCCATATTATTTCATACAAAGTCTGCCAAAAAAAAGTATATGCTAGGAAGAGAAAAGCTTGTAGAAGTATTTTAATACTAAATTTAGACAACATGAGATTAATACAAGTTACCTTCTACAATTAAAAGAAAATAAGATTGGGTCCTGCAAGCCTATTTCTTACTTTTGTACTGTAATTTGTACTTTAGCTTGGTCGTAGCCAGGTGTACATCTCAGCACCTTTTCCTGAGGGATACAAAAAGCAGTCTGTATTTACTTACTAGGTATGACAAATGGCATACTGAGCACATGTGCAAAAGTTGAAAATAGGATTTTTTCCACCTTCCTTATGCTCTATGTAACTTTATTTTGTGTATGTTTACCTGAACATCACAGAGAGTCCAGTAGACCCACACCACTCTAGTATTGAAAAATTGTTTCTTTTAATTTTTCTGGTACAAGTAGTCCAGTTCAGTACAGTGGCACATAAAAAAGCCAGATTTGCAAGTTTTGGAGGAGGTCAACAGTGAATTATCAGATTACTCATGCATGGATAATGAAAGTGATCCATTATGGTAAAATTCACGCTTTCATACCAGAAGAGTGGTGTGAGTATAGGTTGATGATGACTTTGACACTGCCCATGTGAGCCAAAGTTCCTAAGACAGTGAAATGGAGACAGAATCACTTGATACAAACTCAGGGAATGCAGTCCTCTTTGATTCAGATGATGAAAAGACAGCAATGTGAGTACCTATTTGACTAGCTGAAATGTTTAGAAATGGTCACAACCAAATGCAACCATCCATTGTTAGAACGACCCAGTATTAGAACTAGTTTTGAAAATATGGTGAGGATTTTGATAGCGATCAAATGTATTGGACAGAAAGGCTGCACTGCTGCTTAGTGTTGGAAATTGTAACAGATGAAATGCTTCAAGATGCTGTGAAATACAAAGAGGCTGAAATACAAGTAAAATGTTCTGTGTGTACCTGTAACTATACTGAAATATGTGTTTATTATGATACCTCAATAGCTGAACTGAAAGCATTCATAGGTCTGTTGTACTTAGCAGGGATTTCTCATGTTGATTGCAGAAATGTAAAAGACCTACTGAAAAACGATGAGTGAAAATACGGTTAAAAAAAAAAATTATGCCCTTGCAGATGTAAAGACTTACACACTTTCAGTTTAGACATTTATGCTGGAACTCAGCCATCAATCAGCTCCTTATTTGTGTAGTAATAAAGTGAATGATGTTGCTGTGTCATTTCCATCTCCCAAACTCGTAAGAATGTGATATTTGACAGTTGGTTTACAAGTGTTCTATTGGAGCTATGTTTACTAACAGAGCACAAGCTGACCAGTATAGGGACTACATGTAGGAATGACACTATATTATATAAGGAATCCTGACCATGAATGAACACTGAGGCGTGTCAAGTTTATCCTGCAAAAACTTTAGGAAAGCAAAATGCATTTGCTGTTAGTATAAGAGATATATGTTTATGGAGCATGCCCTTGTTATATATGTAGACTGCCATAGATGTGATAATTGAAGTAGTTTTTTAAAAAACTAAATTAGTATTCGTATTTTCAGTGTAGTTTATGTAAAAATTTATTTGTTCTTTTTTAGACTCAGTGTATAAAGAAACAGTTGATGTTAAAAATTTTGATGGTTTTTTAAAAATAAACACTAAATAGTAAAAATTTAATAGTATTTTTGTGGTATTTTTCCCCGTTAAGTACTTACTGATTGTTTAATAAGACTCATAAAATTAATTCATAAGTATAAATAGTCTAAAGAATAAACATGGGTCTGTGACAGATCCATGTTTTCTACTTTTATAACAAAATTAGTCTTATGTCCCAGGTGTTGCAATAAGAGGTGTTGAGTGATTTCCAT